GAGAGAGAGAGAGAGGAAAGAGAAGAACAAAGGAAGCTTCGCATAGCTCAGACCAGTTTAATGAGAAAGAGAAAGGAGAAGAAGAGGAAAATTAGAGTGTCATGGAGCAGAGGAAAGAAATAAACATCTTTAAATTTATTGATTGATAATTAATATAAAACGATCGCTACTTTTCGCTGCAGTGCGTTTAGAATTAGGTGAGCATGGAATACCTCGTCGGCGGGACAGGTTTCGGTCGTGGAAGCAGATGATTTAGATTTTTTTCGTAATAACAAAATAGAATTTATTGTCAAATGAATATGGTTAACAAACAACAAACAGTGTCGATATTAAACGCTGAACTGTGAGTACGATAAGATTTCGTTTGCCGAGGCGTGTGTGTTTCTCAGTTTATTGTGGGTGACTTATTGCGCGGTGAGATCACCAGATCGATCGAATCGACATTTCGGTGCTCGCAATTGCGATGTTTCGCGTGCTTGCGAATTGTCGCGGGCGCGATTGCCTAGCAATGGTGTTTGTGCAGCACGAAGCGACTATCAAAGTTGATGCGTGTGATTTGTTCGCGGCCGGTACTTCGACGGAGCTAATAGATTCCCGACGGCCTATGATCGCGTGAAACGCGGTGCGTAGAAATGGCGACTTGCGCAGATTTCAAGCGCGCGCTGATTTCTCGGATGCGCTTTAAGATGACAGCAAACGGCCGGAAACACCCGGGATAGCGGGAGACCTTCGCCACTGCGATGCGCTTCTTTGGGAGGCTCGCGGAGCGCGATCGGGAATATCCGGGTGGAAGCGGATTGCCCTCATCTACGGCGTGTTCTTATGAGCGGATGCTGTGCGTGTTGTCGAAATTCTCGACTGCGTGCCGGTTCACCCGACTGCGTGCCGGTTCACCCCAACTCGTTTCCTTCTCGCAGTCGTAGGAAAGCGGCGGTTAGTCTAGGATATTGAGAGCTTTGCGTTAGCCGGCAATTTCCTGACGGCGGCGGGATACCCTCACCGCGGTTTTCGCTAAACTTCTTACTTGGAGCGGAGCATAGATCGGCTCGTGGGAGTCTCGATTCTAGGAAGATCTGATCTGATAGCGCGGAGGAACGGCTTTTTATAGCTCCGACTCGATTTTTGGAGCGGTTCGGATCAAATCGTGGGTAACAATCAGCCGCCCTAATTAGTTAAACGCTCTTTTTATTTCCGATAGTGTTCGGATAATCTCGGAGATCGCTCTCGCTGAGCTGTGATCTTCTCCACTGCTCGGGTTTGTTCGGCGCTGCTCGGTTGATCTCGTCGACGCTATGCCGAACGATCAATTGTCGGCTCGCAATTAATTTTGCGAGCCTAATCGTGGAGCGATTAAGGTGGCGCAAAGCGCCTTTTTGGCCGACAATCGGTCGGGCGTCACCCAGCAGTGGGTAGACGGCCGCAGAACGGTGCGTAAAATATGCACCGTTACAAATAAATGTAAAACTCACTGTTGATTAACTGAGACGGTTATCTCGAAAGAACAAATCTCGACTTCTCTTCAAAAGGTTGGGATCTTCGAAGTGTTCGAATGCTTCGAACGGTTAGTTG